AATAATAATAATAATAATAATAGTAAGAATAATATATGTAATAATAATTGTAATAATAATAAATAAAAATAATAATAATAAATAATAATAATAATAATAATAATAAATAATAACATATTTTGTGATAAAATAATTTAAGTTTGAATGACATCTTATAAATGGAGGGCACAAAATCACCATTTGTTAATACGAATATAACTCAAAACATATCCACAATAAAATGTGAATACTTTTAGTATATTATATATTTTAATTTTGTGGGCATTTTACTTGAAGCCCCTAGAACATTTTTAAAATTTTAAAAAATGGCACCAATTTTTTTTTATAACATTTTGGCTTGAGTAGCGTAAAGGACGCTTAAGAGAATGGTGCATGCCTAATTTTCATTGAAATCACTGATTTTCGAAAATTCCAAAAAATTAACAATTTGTTCGGTGTCTTTCCTGCAACTACAAATTGAAGAGAAATTTTTTTTATTAAAATGTGTTCATCAGAACAGATCTACAATCTTTCGAAAATATGATAATTTTTGGTGTAATTTTTCTTGTACCAAAGGCAGTTTTTAAATTTTAAGCAATTATTTTCTCAGAAAATGGTCCAAGTTTTTTCTTTAATATTCTTTCATTTTTTAACAAAAAACTACAAATACATTATTTATTAAAAAAGATTTGAGCACCTGAGTACGGTATTAAGAAATTATTTGCTCACTTTCATGTAATCAATGCAAGCTTGTGTGAAATAATATTCTTTTCTGCAAATTGGCGCATGCCCAGCGTCTTTGACAACACATTTTTGAAAATCGCAAAATTTAGGAATATTGTGAGAAAAAAGGGTTTGTTGCAAAATTTGAAAGCAAGGGAATCAAGAGAATATGGCTTTATGAGAGTTAAACGGTAAGAGTTAATACAACTGTCACTAATTCGAAAATACTACCAATTGGAACAAAACGTTTGATAGATGTCTTTTTACTTCCCCGTATACATACGAATATAAGGGAATATTATACGTAGTACAGGGAAAGTAATGTAATGCTGCAGAAAATAAGATTTCGATATTTCGACGGTTTTGGAGTCCCTGCCAAAAAAGTTACTTTTTCAAAACGTTCGGCTGTGTGTGTGTCTATTAGCGCTTAAAACATACGTAACATTTTTTCCAAAGTTGAAGAATCCCGAGTCGACCTGGCTCGAGTCGAATCTTTTGAGATTTTGAAAAACATTCTTTAAAAAATTTAGGGGTACTTTATATGAAGCTACCTGAAATTTTTCAAAATTTTCTCAAAAATGGATCCAAATATTTTCTTTAAATTTCTTGTAAGAATAGAGTAAAATACACTTATCAAGATTGCATAGGTCCAATTTCCAGGTTTAACATATAATTTTCAAACCTTTCAAAATTTTTCGGGCGTTTTCCTACAACCACAAAATTAAAAATAGAGATTTTTCTTAAATAAAATTTATTTTACATAGAGAGTTCTTTCATTAAGGTCATGTAAATTTTCTTGAAAATTTTAGTAGTTTCATTCAATATTGCGTACAATATGTGCAATTTCGAAATGGACTGCGCACTCTTCGAATTGTGCACTCTTTAATATGTTCGTAAAGTTAATTTCGGTGTATTTTTTGTTTTTAATTACACAAATGTAAATTTTTTTAAAGATATCTCTCACGCCGTCGTGATATGCACATTTCCAGCCATTTGTAAACACTAGTGTATGTGAGTTAGTACTTAAAATGGCTTCAAATCGAAATTTCAAAAACAAATATTTTCCTGTGAAAAAAGAGCTCCAATTTTGGAATCACGTAGCGCTTATAACGCCATGTTTCTTTTAAGACGGCTCCAAATTTTTCAAATGAATGACATTTAGCACAATGTTTTACTGTTCTTTATATCTTAAAATAACATTTCTGCTTTTTTCAGTTAGGAAACCGAAAATTAAGAAAAGTTTAAAAACTTACTTTCACCAGAGATGGTTGCGCAGGCTATTTGGCCATATGGTGGCAAGTTGGAATAGCTTACCGAGATCAAGTAATAGAAAACTATACGGGAAAGTCTGTGTCATTCTGTAGCACCACTAGTTCAATTTTACCCTACTGGTCACGAGTCGCGTAATCAGTGTTTACAAAAACTATCATCTTTAATGCTTCGTTGAGCAAGCAGTGGCACTAAATCCCTATCCCTACGCGGATTGGCGCCTGTCTAGCGACTGCGTTTGGTTCACGAACTTTGTTACCATGTAGTACTACGCGTGTTCATTCGTAGTCCATTCGTAATCCGTTCCCACAGAAATGCTTTACCCACCTTAATCTGGCGCGACTTCTCCTCCGTAAGGCTTTTAGTGGTAAAATGCAGAACATGACGAAGCCGACGACGACGACACCTGCTAAGAAAGTCAGGCAGATAATTCGTACAGCCCGTCTTCGTCGTACGGGCGGGTAGCTGACTGGCGCAAACGGAAGTCGGGCCCGAGAGCTGCCGGTAAGGGCTGCCTGCCGCCGCCGCGGTGCCTGTACATAATGTTGGTGTTGGTGTTGGTATTGTCAGTTTTCAAAATTTCACATGGTCAAATTCAATTCATTCACTTTCTTGCAATATTAAACGATTTAACACCCCCTTTCTTTCTTTCTTTCTTTCTTTCTCTTTCTTTCTTTCTTTCAGTTTTTAAAATATTAAATATATTTTCTAAATTTTTTTAAAAATTCACGTTTTAATGTTTTTTCTTGTACTAGAAAACTGATGATAATTGCTAAGCCAACGATTCGATTTCGAATTTCGAATTCGAATTCGAATTTCGAATTTCGAATTTCGAATTTCGAATTTCGATTTCGAATTTCAAATTTCAAAATTTGAAATTTCGAAATTTCAAATTTCAAATTTTCAAAATTTCAAATTTCAAATTTCAAATTTCAAATTTCAAATTCAAAATTTCAAATTTCAAATTTCAAATTTCAAATTTACATACATAAGATTCCGTGTATAAAATTTGCTTCAAAAAATACCAGTCCTTTTAGTTGTGCCGATTTCTCCAAAAATGTTACCTTTCATTTTAATTGTTTGATAGTCTGCTTGCAATATTCTGTAGATTGTAGATTGTAGATTCAGTATTGTTAACGCTACTCATTCTGACGTAAAGGAAAAGGCATGGACAATCAGATCTCTCTCTCCCCTTCGGTACAATGTAGTATTTATGTTACCGAGTGACACGAGCAATATTTTAAATAAGCGATTTTTTCGTTCATATAAATTTTTATTTGTTCCATCTCCAATAAACACCGCCTTACAGTAACACTGACAGTGCTCCGATGAAATCGAGGGCATTGCAGGTGTAGCAATGCTCTTCAATTGGCGAATTGATTAGCTCTCCTGCCGGTGGAGTCACCCATGATGAACAGACGAAGGGCTGTCTCTCGAAGATCCTATCAGACCTCTTCCCAACCAAAATTTCCAAATCCTCTCTCGAACCATCACCAATATCCTTTCCTATCACCCATCTGCTCTTCTGATTGTGATTCCCTCACTGTGAGACATGCCTCTTGTTACTTTGTGTCATACTTATTTTATCTTTCCCTTAAGGTTCTACTTGACCCCTTAGGTTTTCGAACCCCGACGCTAATAGGTTCCCAGGGCTAGGTAGTCATTCGCTTTATCTATTCTTACAACTCTGCTCAAGACTCTCTATCTTCGTTTTTTCTTGAGTTTCCCTCAAGCATATAACCTGCGCAGAGGGCTAATTGTGTGGCGCGGAGGGTATCTGCGTCTCGAACGGATCCAACAAGGGTACGAGGCGAACTCCTGTAATAGTTAGCCTTACCAAATTCACGCGGGGCTCTAAATAGATGGAGAGTTCTCTAGCTACACAGCGTGAGAACGAGATGGATTATGGACATGCGACCGATGGATATGGACATGCGACACAGAAAAACGAAGAAAAATGTCCAGTTTTGGAATCAAAAATGATCCGCAGCTGTCCATGGCTAAGTTCAGCTTTCGAACGGCATTGCTTGGGCAGCACTTATCACGCACAAGCGGAGCCTCACAGCTAACCACAGCCAATCTCAACGGGAGGCGAGAGGGAACAACAAAATTCCTTCGTAGAAAAAAGCGGACGTCGCTAATCCTACGTCGCGGCGTAGTCGTCATCGTAGTCGTCGCGGCGGACGTCGCTAATATTGGGATATTTTCAAAAATAGACTACATGGAATGAAACAATTTGATGAACAGGAAGGTAAATCCATTGAAATAAAATAAAACGCAACAAACTGAAACCAGTGTTAAAATTATTCTTTTTCAAAGGACTCTGACGTTGAATTATGAAAAAAATTGGTTTTTTAAATTCACGTTTTAATGTTTTTTCTTGTACTAGAAAACTGATGATAATTGCTAAGCCAACGAAAGATGCTACTGTAATAAACAATACTGTTCGCAATGACGACTCCTAATTATTTCACTGCACATAATGCCCAACCGGTGACCGCCCCCGAGAGAAATCGGGACCCGGGTAGGATGAAAATAAAATTGGATCGGAAATGAATGAATGTAATGAAAGAAGTATCGCTAATCGACATTTTAACGATACCGATTTAGCTTGACCTTTAAATCGCGTAGAAAATCTCCACTATCTTATCTACAGTAAAAAAATGCATGACAAAAACCTCTGACCGTTCAAATTTCAAATTTCAAAATAAAACGGCACAACATATTTTGATTAAATGTAATTAACTACTACATACATAAGATTCCGTATATAAAATTTGCTTCAAAAAATACCAGTACCTTTTAGTGTGCCGATTTCTCCAAAAATGTTACCTTTTTATTTTAATGTTTGATAGTCTGCTTGCAATAATTCTGTAGATTGTAGATTGTAGATTCAGTATTGTTAACGCTACTCATTCTGACGTAAAGGAAAAGGCATGGACAATCAGATCTCTTCTCCCCTTCGGTACAATGTAGTATTTATGTTACCGAGTGACACGAGCAATATTTTAAATAAGCGATTTTTCGTACATATAAATTTTTATTTGTTCCATCTCCAATAAACACCGCCTTTCAGTAACACTGACAGTGCTCCGATGAAATCGAGGGCAATGCAGGTGTATCAATGCTCTTCAATTGGCTAATTGATTAGCTCTCCTGCCGGTGGAGTCACCCATGATGAACAGACGAAGGGCTGTCTCTCGAAGATCCTATCAGACCTCTTCCCCAACCAAATTTCCAAATCCTCTCTCGAACCCATCACCAATATCCTTTCCTATCACCCATCTGCTCTTCTGATTGTGATTCCCTCACTTGTGAGACATGCCTCTTGTTACTTTGTGTCATACTTATTTTATCTTTCCCTTAGGTTCTACTTGACCCCTTAGGTTTTCGACCCCGACGCTAATAGGTTCCCAGGGCTAGGTAGTCATTCGCTTTATCTATTCTTACAACTCTGCTCAAAGACTCTCTATCTTCGTTTTTCTTGAGTTCCCTCAAGCAATATAACCTGCGCAGAGGGCTAATTGTGTGGCGCGGAGGGTATCTGCGTCTCGAACGGATCCAACAGGGTACGAGGCGAACTCCTGTAATAGTTAGCCTTACCAATTCACGCGGGGCTCTAAATAGATGGAGAGTTATCCCTAGCTACACGTGAGAACGAGATGGATTATGGACATGCGACGATGGATTATGGACATGCGACACAGAAAAACGAAGAAAAATGTCCAGTTTTGGAATCAAAAATTGATCGCAGCTGTCCATGGCTAAGTTCAGCTTTCGAACGGCATTGCTTGGGCAGCACTTATCACGACAAAGCGGAGCCTCACAGCTAACCACAGCCAATCTCAACGGGAGGCGAGAGGGAACAACAAAATTCCTTCGTAGAAAAAAGCGGACGTCGCTAATCCTACGTCGCGGCGTAGTCGTCATCGTAGTCGTCGCGGCGGACGTCGCTAATATTGGGAATATTTTCAAATAAGACTACATGGAATGAAACAATTTGATGAACAGGAAGGTAAATCCATTGAAATAAATTATAAACGCACAAACTGAACCAGTGTTAAAATTATTCTTTTTCAAGGACTGACGTTGATATGAAAAAAATTGGAACTACATTTTCCTTTTCCAAATATATATATATATATATAGTAATATACTATACTATAATTATATGATATATACGGTATATATAGTAAGTGTATACCATCGTCAACTGTTGTTAAACGTAATTAAGTTCGCAGAATATTTTATTCCGCAATCATAAAGAAATCCAAATTCTGACCACGTTACTGAGTAACAATGCATTTTAATTATTAAATTTGTTCAAAGAATTGGTTCCCCGTCCGGGACTCGATGGACTCGTCTTGGATGGTGACAAGTATATATAGTATAATTACAATTATATATAATATATACAAGGAACAATTATCGCGCTCGTCAAAACTGTCCAAAAGCTTCGTTCTCTCGGTACCTTAGTGGTTAGAGTAGCTGGGCGTAAACCAGACGGCCCGGGTTCGAGTCCAACTTGGTACTTTCTTTACTGGCGAGTGGTATACCTGGCATTGTTATTGTATGATTGGATAGTAGCGTTTGGATTGTAAGGCTGAGAGAGCACAATAAACTGTTTTTGAGGAAACATCTGTCTCTCTACTTTTCCATACATTTTGGGTGTGTCAAGTCGAATTCAGCCGCGCACCGCGACATCAGTCGATCACTATCCAATGCCAGCTCTCACTCCAAAGTGTTCCGTGGGTAGTTACCTCGTCGTGCAGGAGATGGCGGCGCTGTCGCGGTGGTTTGGCGCAAAGCATCGTTACCGCGCGCGACAGCTGCACCTGCAGTGCCGTGAAGCCCTCCTTCGTGTAGCACGGAAACGGCCCAGTTTCCTGCGCAAGTCAAACCCCTCACATGAAATGTCGAATCTATTGAAGTTACCACGAAGTCAGTGAGGAGACACACATTCAAAAGTGAGGTTATGTACGGAAAGAGTCGGCAACTAATCGGACACACATGGCTTCAGCGATATCACGCGGGTTTTGGAGAAACCTCTCAAGACATTTTCGGCCAATCGCCACCAACCTAATGTTCCAAGTGAACGCAATAGTCACTGCAAAGTGAAGATGGCGTTGGTCAACTACTAAATACTAATACATTGTCAAATACTAATACATTGTACGCGCGTCGTTACTGGCGAAAAACGGTAAAAAGGTAAGTTCATTAACCACACGATGTCGCTGTAGCTAAGAGAGTTCGACTAGTAGCTGACGTTTCTTCCAAGATCCATTTAAGATATCTCTAGAGAGCCTTCCGTTTTTCGTAGATAAACCACCAAGCCTCCAACACCGGAGTAAAGTCCCCTTCGTACAGACTTCGTGTAAGAAACGAATGAGGCCTCATTTTTGAAAGGCTTCAAGTGTACTTACTGAATAACAAAACATAAGGTATTATGGTCAGTACATTTCATCAGTACACAGTCATTTATAGGCACGAAAAACTGCAGAAATAGACATTTAAAAAAGCATTTAAAAGTGTAAAATGGGC